ACAGGAATATCGACACACCACCACACACGCTTGGCAAGTGACAGCGCTCGAGCTCTGAAGTTCTGAGGCCCCCAGCCGCTAAAAGGAGGAAGGTGCCCATGAAGGGACCGCTGATCTTCAGCATGTAGGCGATCGTCAGGACGCCTGGAAGAATCCGGGGGTGGCTACTCTTGAGCCTCAAGGAAACCCCCCCAAAAAACACCGAAAAGGCTGTGACAACGTTGGAGGGGCACGTAAAGCATGATGGGCTTCGGGTTTAGGGTTTAGGGTTTAGGGTTCAACCCCCATGCGTTCCAAATGTTGGATGCTTTTTTGTCAGCTTAGGGTGCTAACGTTCATCGGCCGTGGCTACTCTATTCACCTACAGCTTAGCAGCAGCTACCCCTATAATCAGTAGGTAGAACCCGTAAAACCATCCTGTCTCAGGCAATCCTATACCCTTTTTCGGACCCAAACCTGAAAAAGAAACTACTAGACAAGCTTCATGCCGCCTCTTCAGGGGTTTAGTGTTTAGGGTTTAGGGCTACTAGTGTTTAGGATCGCAAAGACATCCGGCCCGAGCACTGGACACTTGAAGGGCTTTGTTCTGGCTCTGTGGTTCACATTGGCACGTTCCTCCTGATGCTAACAGCCATTAATATAGATTCTAGTTGCGGGTTTTAGGGTTTAGGATTCTAGTTCCCCATATAATGATCCCTATTAAGGACTGATAGTATAAGGAGGAACATACCACATACAACGAGTGCTTAGGTGGTAATTTGCACGCCAGTGCTTGTCGAAGGGGTTTGCCTCCTAAACCCTAAACCCTAAACCCTAAACCCTAAACCCTAAACCCTAAACCCTAAACCCTAAACCCTATAAACCCTAAATAGGGAACCCTAACCGCTCCTGCCTTTAGACTTCGGCATCCTGATCACCGAAAGCTCTTATCATGGGTTCCCCTACTACCCTAAACCCTAAACCCTAAACCCTAAACCCTAAACCCTAAACCCTCTATACCACCCCGCCCTAGATTCCCCCCCCCGATACGAAGGCTATTTAGGGATAGTGCAGCCTAACTAAGGTTATTTAAAGGAGGGAACCTAGGGGGGGGTAGTATGGAGGGCAGTAGGGAAACCCATGCATGATCTAACCCTAAACCCTAATAAACCCTAAACCCCAAACCCCAAACCCCAAACCCCAAACCCTAAACCCCTAAACCCTAAACCCTAAACCCTAAACCCAAGGAAGCTCAACCACGACAGTGTGCAGGGCTTCAGCCCCCAGCGGTCATGGCAACCCGCATGGAAAGCCGAGGCTCGGAGACGACGTTTTAGGGTTAGGGTTTGTGGGTTAGGGTTTGGGGTTTAGGGTTTAGGGGTTAGGGGTTTAGGGGTTTAGGGGTTTAGGGTTTAGGGGTTTAGGGTTTAGGGTCGTTCAAATCCTACATTGTCAGGTGAACTTATCTGTCATGAGGCGGGAATGGGCACGCTGCATCAGGGGAAGCCCGAAACCCTGAACCGTAAATTCCTACACCCTGAACCCTAAACAAAGAAACCCTAAACCCCCAACCCTTACACCCTAGACCCCAAACCCTCAAACCCTTACACCCTAAACACTGAACCCTGAACCCTAAGCCCCAAACCCTTACACCCAAAACCCTCCACCCTAAACCCTGAACCCTACCTGCAAACTTGGGGGTTCGGCCTCCACCTAAGGCTGTCTGGACCAGGACAAAGATACTTTGCCGAATGCCTGCAGCAGAAGTGGATTTCGAAATCCGGTCGAAGGCTTTTAAAGGGGGGTTTAGGCTTAGTTTTAGCGGTTTCAGGGCTTAGGCCAAGTTTCAGGGTTTAGGGTTTAGGCTAAGTTTTAAGGTTAAGGGTTTTAGGGTTCAGGGTTTGGGCTAACTTTTATGGCTAAGGGATTTTTAGACTTCGTGGCCTGTGGGACTTCGACCAAACGGCCTCGTGTTCAGCCTCAGCAGTCGCCCTGCTCGGCCAGATTCAGGGTTTGAGCTGGTTTAGGGTTTAGGGTTTAGGGTTTAGGGTTTAGGGTTTAGGGTTTACGAACATCGGCGAGCCCAAATAGACCCCCCAAAAGGGCAGGACCCCTCATAATACGGACCCCAAATAAGAAACCACCCTTGGGCGTTCCGGGCTTGGTTTGCTTTTTGGGGAGGCTAAACCCTAAACCCTAAACCCTAAACCCTAAACCCGAAACCCTAAACCCTAAACCCTAAACCCTAAACCCGAAACCCTGAAATCTGGAACTGGGCCGCTAAGAAGGCGCCGTCTTGACTCTCCGGAACCTCCCAGGCTTGCAGGAAACCTGTAACCCGGAATGCACTTTACAAACACTTCCGAGACCCGACGCCCCTAGGCCTAAACCCTAAACCCTAAACCCTAAACCCTAAACCCCCTAAAACTCTGCAAAGCCCCAAGTTCCACCCCGAGGGCCCCTCTAAACCCCACAACTCAAAAACTCTCCAACCCCAAAGCCCGCTGTCTCACAGTAGGGCATAAGGGGTTGGAGTTTAGGGTTTAGGGTTTAGGCGTTTAGGGTTTAGGGTTTAGGGTTTAGGGTTTAGGGTTTCGGGTTTCGGGTTTCGGGTTTCGGGTTTCGGGTTTTGGGTTTCGGAACTCCAATAGTATCCAACCCCAAAGGGCATAAGAGAAGTATGTTCCCCCCTCGGAGTTCTCTAGGGGGATTTCCTAGGACCTCTAAAACCTAAACCCTAAACCCTAAACCCTGAACCCTAAACCCTAAACCCTAAACCCTAAACCCTAAACCCTAAACCCTAAACCCTAAGTGCGCGCTTGGTAAGACACTGTCTGCCTCCCGCGCTGAGGGGCGCAAAAGTCTTCTCCAGCCGCGATCGCTCCTTAGGGGCCCTAGGCACATAGCTAGACCAAAGAGCATTTAGGGTTTAGGGTTTAGGGTTTAGGGTTTAGGGTAACCAAGGAAAAACGGGTTTAGGGTTTAGGGTCTAGGGCAACCTCGGACCTAGGAAGAAAAAGGGTGTCCTTTCTGGTTCAAAGAACCTAAACCCGAGCAAAAAAAGGAGTAACGGCCTACTCTGGGTCCTAGATAAGGTTCTCGTATGAGGCCGCCGCACCAGCTGAATGTCACCCGCCTAAACCCTGAAGCCTAAACCCCAAGCCCTAAACCCCAAACCAAGCCGGGGCCGGCAGCACGCCTTTTCGGAGCCCCAAATAGCTCGAAGGCGAGCAAAAGCCTCCAAGCCCTCACCCTAAACCCTAAAGCCCAAACCCTAAACCCTAAACCCCAAACCCCAAACCCCCACCCTAAACCCTAAACCCCAAACCCTAAACCCCAAACCCCAAACCCTAAACCCCAAGACCAAAATAGCTCGAAGGCGCGATGAAGCTGGTGGCCCGGCTACCCAGTCCCTGGAGCTCGCCGAGATCTGATCCCAGGTCGGTTTAAGGGTTAAGGGTTAAGGGTTAAGGGCTTGGGGTTTCGGGTTTAATGTTCTACCTGCTTTAGTGTCTGGCGCCCCCCCCCCCCCCCCCCCAAGACAGTCGAAGCTGGTTTTCGCCCTGTTTACATGGTCCACGGGATTATATGATCTTGATAGGGACGAGTTTATGGTTTAAAAGGGGCAGCGATCGGCAATTGATTCTAAAGGCGTGCCGCGTGGAATTTTCCGACGACGCCCTAAACCCTAAACCCTAAACCCTAAACCTTAAACCTTGACTTAATTCAGGATCCCACCACACACCCCGGAACCGCCAGGGTGAATAGCCCAGCCAATTTGGCCTTATTCAGGGTTTAGGGTTTAGGGTTTGGGGGCCCCTACAAAAGCAGGTGGATCATTACGGTTTATAAGTTACGTAGAGGGTTCAGGGTTTTGGGTTTTCGGTTTTGGGGGAGTTGCAGGGTTTTAGGACCATTTCTCTCTGTCGGAAATGAACAAACACATCCGTGCACCCCCTCCCTTCCTCCCTGTCTCCCTCCCTGTCTCCCTCCCTGTCTCCCTCCCTCCCCCCCAAACCCTAAACCCTAAACCCTAAACCCTAAACCCTAAACCCTAAACTCTAAAAGCCCACCCCAAAGCCCCACCACCAAGGAAACATGGCCCACCTGCAGTGTCCACCGTCTCAGACAGCAGCCGCTCGCGCAGCGAGGGGGAGTGGAGGTCGGAAGGAGTCATGGCGCTTTCGTCTACTCTCCGGAAGTCCCTGGGAAAGTTGAGCACTCACCGTAGCTGTTGCTAAGGAGTTCCTTTTGTTCGCGTGTCCTCTTCAGGGTAGCACAGACTTTTGCAGCTGGGATACGCGCTAGTCGACGCTGAGTGAGGGTTTCAACTGCTGCTGCTAAGAGTATGCTGACATTCAGGGCGGTGCCTCCAGCACGAAGCCAAAAATCTGCACGCTCTCTTGTTAGGGTTTAGGGTTTCAGATTTAGGGTTCAGGGTGTACGGTTTGTGGCTTAGGGTTCAGGGTTTAGGGCTCCCTCTTTGGGCGAAGGGGGTACTTTAACTGAGGGATGCATTTCATGGGATGCGAGTGACATTTCGGGTTTGAGGTTTAGGGTTCAGGGGGTTCTACAGGCCTGCAGTGAGGTGAGCCTTCCGTGTCGGCAGGGCTCAGATCTGCTCTCCACCCACCCGCCGCTGAAAAGCCGGTCAGAGACATTCTCCCCTATCCCCCCCTAAAACCCTAAACCCTAAACCCTAAACCCTAAACCCTAAACCCTAAACCCTAAACCCCAAACCCTAAACCCTAAACCCTAAACCTCACCCCCCCCCCCCCCCCCCCCGCCTTGCTAAAATCGGCATGTAAGAATGTTGATGAGATGTCCGGGGCTTTAGAGGGGGGGGGGGGGGGAGGGGCGGGGTTTGGGGGAGAAAGGTACTCTATTGACCTTACCAAACCCTGAAAGCCCTAACCCTAAACCCTAAACCCTAAACCCTAAACCCTAAACCCTAAACCCTAAACCCCAAACCCCAAACCCTAAACCCTAAACCCTGAAAGCCCTTAAAAACCCCGTCGGGCCTCCCCTCTCTGCTGGGCAGCCTCCAACAGTCGCGCTGCAGCTGGCTCCTCTGCTCGGGGGCTTTGGCAGGATTTAGGGTTTGGGGTTTAGGGTTCAGGGTTCAGGGTTCAGGGTTCAGGGTGTAGGGTTTAGGGTTTAGGGTTGGGCTCTTAAAGATTATGCAAACGCATCAGCGGGTCAAGAGCTGATTGAACGAGACTTTGTGCCTTTTTTTGAAGGTTTTTTGCGGGCCCAAAAGGGCGAGTCAGTCCTTTGCACAAGCAAAAGGGTCTTTTGGCGGCGGTTGATCTACAGCACACATCTCCCCATTTGAGACCCTCAACCCTCCCAAAACCCTAAACCCTAAACCCTAAGCCCTAAACCCTAAACCCTAAACCCTCAACCCCAAACCCCAAACCCCAAACCCTAAACCCTAAACCCTAAACCCCCTGTGAAGCATCGCAGGGCCACAGGGTCCAACCACGTATGGGCAGGGGAGTGCTTGGAGCCTGGCACTTGATGTTTCGAGATGTTAGGCTACTGTTTGCTTCAGAACTCCCCCCCACCAAAAAAACAAAAAAAACAATAATAATATACAGGATAGTCATCCCTGTATTTCCCCTATAAGGCAGAATGTCTTTCTTTTTGTGGGTTATTCAGCAAATGGCAGGTTAGGGGCGGGGTTTAATGTTGACTTCACATTAATGATTCCCGCTACAATTATAAAATCCAGCTGCCGGAACACAATAATGTAGCCCCCCACAATGATAAAATCCAGCCCGGAATATTTTTTTTACGGGCGTGGTGCTACTACCTAATACTAAAACTAATAGTACGTCCTACCAGGATTTAGGCGAATATAATTGAGGAGGCCCTGGCCGGAGAGATTGATCAATCAAGGGGGGGGGGGTTTATTAATGCGAAGTCAACATTAGGGTTTAGGGTTTAGGGTTTAGGGTTTCGGGTTTCGGGTTTCGGGTTTAGGGTTTAGGGTTTAGGGGCATACAGGGCGATCCCCCCACTCCTCAAGTGCGCTCCCTGCTTTATTGGCGCCCACAGTCTCGGCCGGGGTACCGATGGGGCAACCAGTTCCATAGCACTCTTGAAGCTAGGGTTTAGGGTTTAGGGTTTAGGGTTTAGGGTTTAGGGTTTAGGGTTTAGGGTTTAGGGTTTAGGGTTTAGGGTGCTCAGATGTTCCTTAAGTCGCACACAACGCTCCAAAAAACGTCCCCTAAACTCTAAACCCTAAACCCTCCACCCTAAAGCCTAACACCCTCAAACCTACAACTCGAAACATAATTCGCTGTGACGAGGGGTCAGGACTGGGAAGTCACTTTAGGTTGGGGCTTTCGGCTTTCGGCCAAGCCATTCAACTAACCCCTAAACCCTAAACCCTAAACCCTAAACCCTAAACCCTAAACCCTAAGGACGAGGCAAAGTTGCACCAGCCAGAGTCACCAGCAAACTGCCACTCGTAGCCTGAAGCGCAAGTAGCTTGAGCCCTGAGCCCTAAACCCTAAACCCTAAACCCTAAACCCTAAACCCTAAACCCCGAGCCGCCCCTTCTTGTGTTGGAGGTTCTCTGTAAGGCTTTTATGGAATTGGAGAGGTACTGAGAATTCTGTAGCTTTTGGGGTTTGAAGCTTTAGGGGTGAACTAGGTTTCAGGAAATAGCTTGGAGAAGCTCCCCGCTCACCATCGAATACTAATCAACGCTGCTTATAAGTATGAGAATAACAACTTAGAACACCTAAGAGCAGCCAACAAAAACAAGCAAGCCCTTAAACCCGAAACCCTAAGCCCCAAACCCTACACCCTTCACAAACCACCCAAAACATGCACAGCCCTTGGGACGACCTTCATTCTTCAAGGCGAAAACCCTTTCAAAACCCCAAAGCCCAAACCCCAAACCCGAAACCCTAAACCCTAAACCCTAAACCCTAAACCCTAAACCCTAAACCCTAAACCCTAAACCCCAAAGCAAACACACGCCCAATCCTCAACATAAGGAGGGACCCTCGAAGGGACCCTTAACCTTATTTCCCTATATATATACACACTATATAGACATATTTCATATATATATATATATATATGTAGATAGATCCTTATTTCCCTATATATATATACACACACTATATAGACATATTTCATATACATATATATATATATATATAGATAGATAGATAGATAGATAGATAGATAGATAGATACTTTTATGCCTTATATAGTCCCTCTAGACCTAAGTAGCCCCCAAATAACCCCTAAAGAACACCTAAGGGTCCCTCCTTTCGTCCCTTGAATGTAAGACCCAGGACATACCCGATCAACAGAACACTTGCGGCCCCCCTGAACCCTGTACCGAAGCCCTGAAGCCCTACACCCCGAACCCTAAACCCCAAACTCCACACCCCAAACCCAAACCCCCAGGCCCCAAAACCCTAAACCCTGAACCCTAAACCCTAAACCGTAAGTAAACCCTAAACCCTAAACCCTAAACCCTAAACCCTAAGCCCTAAACCCTAAGCCCTAAGCCCTAAGCCCTAAGCCCTAAGCCCTAAGCCCTAAGCCCTAAGCCCTAAACCCTAAACCCTAAACCCTAAGCCCTTAGCCCTAAACCCTAAACCCTAAACCCTAAGCCCTAAGCCCTAAGCCCTAAGCCCTAAACCCTAAGCCCTAAGCCCTAAGCCCTAAGCCCTAAGCCCTAAGCCCTCAGCCAGCGTCAACTCTGGGCCCCCCAGCTGCCGCCGGCTTCGCCGGATGCCTTGGAGTCGACACCTGGATTTCGAGGCCAGGGTTTAGGGTTTAGGGTTTAGGGTTTAGGGTTTAGGGTTTAGGGTTTAGGGTTTAGGGTTTAGGGTTTAGGGTTTAGGGTTTAGGGTTTAGGGTTTAGGGTTTAGGGTTTCGGGTTTACGGGATTAGGGTTTAGGGTTTAGGGTTTAGGGGACTAGGTTAGGGTTTAGGGCTGACTATTTAGGGTTTGGGGTTACCGGGTTTAGGGTTTAGGGCTTGATCCACCGTGAACTCTCCCACCTTTGGGGTCGGGTTCCCACCTGACCCCACCCTGGGAAGCGCAAGCCCTAATACCCTACAGCCCTTAAAGTGCCCAAAAGCATCATCTCCCGCCCTAAGCCCGCAAACCCTGCACCTTAAACCCTAAACCCAAAACCCTAAACCCTAAACCCTAACCCCTAAATAACCTAACAACCTAAACAACCTAGACAACCTAGACAACCTAAACAACCTAAACAACCTAAACAACCTAAACAACCTAAACAACCTAGACAACCTAGACAACCTAAACAACCTAAACAACCTAAACAACCTAAACAACCTAAACAACCTAAACCCCGAAAGAGCCCTACAACCCTGAACCCCGCCTGCTGTGAGCCCAAGCACCGACAGCTCCAGCGGAAGGGAGCCTGGGGGCAGAGTTTAGGAGGTATAGGGTTTAGGGTTGGGCTTGCGGTTTAGGGTTGAGTAGTGGTATAGCTGGGCTAGCAGGGTTAGTCGGGTTCGTATGATTAGAGGTGTCAGTAGGGTTTGGGGTTTAGGGAGAGTGGTTAGTGATGGTAGTAGCAGTAGCAGCAGTCCTTCAAGATAAGAGTTTTGTGTTGGGGTGCAGGGGCGATTTGGGCTCAGTATGTTCGGGGTCAGTGGCTCCACCGTGACCTACTACACTATTTCTGGGGCGTAGGGCTTGTTCTGGTACCTTTGAAACGTCAAATGTTGAAAAGCTTAGTGGGGTCTTCTGAGAACCTTTGTTATGCGCCCAGAAGACAACCCAAAGGCAGAAATCTAGGCTAAAACAGTGTTGGAGCTGCTTTCTAGGATAGGGGCATCTTTGCCCAAAAACCTCTGTGAAGGCTCTTGCTGCTTCCTTACATTGAAGAAAACGGGAAAACAACGTGCACCTAGTATAAGATGTCAAACAAGACACCCTAAACCCTAAACCCTAAACCCTAAACCCTAAACCCTAAACCCTAAACCCTAAACCCTAAACCCTACACCCTAGTATAATATCGTACCATGGGTAGTTACCGAAATATGGGCAACACCTACAGTCTGGCCCTTCGTGGCTGCGAGGCTCCGGCGGCCCGGCGCGTGACGCCTTGGGGCATCCCAAGAATTGGGGTACTGAAGATTTTGGGGTTTGGGGTTTGGGGTTTAGGGTTTGGGGTTTGGGGTTTAGGGTTTAGAGTTTAGGGTTTAGAGTTTTGGGTTTAGAGTTTGGGGTTTAGAGTTTGGGGTTTGGGGGATTGGGGTTTAGGGGTTAGAGTTTGGGCTCTATTGGGGGATGATGTCTTGATAGGGGTTCATAGCGTACAACCTCAGAAGAGTTTGAGGTTGTGAAGGGCCTTACGGACTCAACGTCGCATTCCGGATCTAAACCTCACCCACCATGACAAATGCTGAATAAACACTAAACCCTAAAACCCTGAACCCCTAAACCCCTGAACCCCTAAAAGCCGTAAACCTCTCAACCCCTAGACCCTAAATCCATTAAAACAACCCAAAATGCGCCCAACAATCCTCTCTCGGTCTACTCTTCATCCCGGGGGGAGACCACTTATGTCCAAACCTACATTCATGCAGAGTCGAGCCATCCGTCAGCCTCAACATGAACAACAAAAACGAACAGATCCTGAGTCGTTAGGGTTTAGGGTTTAAGGTTTAAGGTTTAGGGTTTAGGGCTTAGGGTTTAGGGTTTAGGGTTTAGGGTTTAGGGTTTAGGGCCTAACTGCTCACACCCAACCCTCCTAAAACCCAAAACAGCGCACCACAGAAAGACCCCAAAACCCGAAAACCCCAAACTCGGAAACCCTAAAACCGTAAAAACCCACAACTCTGAAAGCCTTTTCCCTGAAACCCTAGCAAACCCTAAAATCCGAAAACCGTAAACCCCTAAAACCTTAAACCCCCAGGCCTTAAACCCTAACCCGACAACCTAAAACCTTAAGCCCTAAACCCCAAAACGCCTAAACCCTAAAACCCCAAAACGCTTAGAGCCGCCCTCAGAGGTCCCCGCGCGCGTCGGTGCGCTGAGGCAACCTTCTTGGCCGGCACAGACGGCAGGAAACGTCCTCCCAGTGTCAGCTTAGGGGTTCAGGGTGTAGGGTTTGGGGTTTAGGGTTAGAGGCTTTGGGGTTCAGGGTTCAGGGTTTAGGATTTAGGGTTTCGGTGTGGTTTTGGGGTTGCAAGGGCCTAAGCTTAAACCACAAACCCCGGACGCCAAGAGCCAAATCGGTCTAGCCCTAAACCTCAAACCCTAGTTAGCAAGTCATGTGAACCATCAAGTAGGGAGAGGAAGGATACTGGGGATGTCAGGCTTAGGGATACGGTTTTCTTCGGTAGGACTTGAGGATAACATCGCGATACACACTATAGCCTGATAACTCCTGTAAACTCGCAAAACCTGAAACCCCAGAGCCCCTATAAAGTAAACCCGTTTAAACCCTATACCCCAAACCCGAAACCCGAAAACCCTATAAAGTAAACCTTAAGCCCTGCAAGCCCTACGTGAATCGGGCTCAGAGCTTCTCAAGGCTAAGGCCAGGCAGGTGGAGATTGTGCAAACGCCTCCACGGACTGCAGTTGAAAGGTAAGCCTAAACCCTAAACCCTAAACCCTAAACCCTAAACCCTAAACCCTAAACCCTAAACTCTTTAAGCCCTAAACATTAAAGTCTCCCCTAAACCAAAGCCGTCTGTCAGAGCAAGGGTCCATGACCAAAGCAAGGATTTATCCCTCGAACCCCGGACCCTTAACCCCAAATGGTTTAGGGTTTAGGGTTTAGGGTTTAGGGTTTAGGGTTTAGGGTTTAGGGCAAACCCTACCTGCAGCCCCCAAAGAATCTGCAGTCAGTAGGTTCAGCATGCCAAGGGAAGCCGTTTGCCCTCAACGCTAGTGACCCTAAGTCCCAAGGGACATGGTTTTAGGGTCTAGGTTCTGCCTGTCTGGTCGACCACATCCAGCGCGCCAGTCTCGTGCTCCCACACCTTGGTCGCTGGAGCTGCCCCTCAGGGCTCGAAAAACTCTCAAGTCTAGATGACTTCGAGCTTTGGGGTTTAGGATTTAGGGGTTTAGGGGTTTAGGGGTTCAGGGGTTTAGGGGTTTAGGGGTTTAGGGGTTTAGGGGTTTAGGGGTTTAGGGGTTTAGGGGTTTAGGGGTTAGGGGTTTAGGGGTTTAGGGGTTTAGGGGTTTAGGGCTTTAGGGGTTTAGGGGTTTAGGGGTTTAGGGTTTAGGGTTTGGGGATTAGGGTCGAAGGGGTTTCGGGTTTCAGGCTCAGGTACGGAAAGCTTCGGTCAGGCTGGGGCAAAAACAGCCCTTCCTTGGCTGCGAACGATGTGGTTCCACCTTTCTACGACTTGCGTGGGATATTCCCACTTATACTAACAGTCCTTAATAGGGATTATAATAGGGCTATGAAGGACTTAGTATGAGGGGGAACATCCCAACGACTTGCTTAAGAATGCCCCCCCAAAAAATATGAAGGATAATAACCCTTGTATTGCCCTGAAAAGGAAACAAATTTGTATTTGCTTAAGAACCTCCCCCCAAGAAAAAAAGGACAAAAACACTTATATTGCCCTTATCAGGAAGAATATTGTTATTTCTTGCAGGGGCTCTTAAGAAAGTAGTTGTTTTGAAAACCAGATGTGATTTAAAGCTTAAGGGATTCCCAAAGACACACTTCGAGCAGCAGCAAAACAAAAACAAATGAACCAACTCTTCCCCTGAACCCTGCACCATAGCATACACCCCAAAACCCCAACACCCCAAAACCCTAAAACCCTAAAACCCCAGCTGCTCAAATCTCTAAACCCAAAAACAACCCGAACAACCCGAATACAGCCTGCACCCACCCACACCCCCCCTTCCCCGCCCGAATTGTGCCCGCATTACAAGGGAATCCTACTATTCGGGGGTCAATACAACCTAAAACCCTAAACACTACACCCTAAACCCTAAACCCTAAACCCTAAACCCTGAACCCTGAACCCTAAACCCTAAACCCTAAACCCTAAACCCCCGGGCTCCGCGGCTGCCACGCCGACAGTGGATCCACAGGGAAGGTCCAGCCTTGACCATTCGGGTTTTCGAGATTCTTGCAGGTAAGGGTAAGGGGCCTGATACCCTAAACCCTAAACCCTGAACCCTACACCCTAAACCCTAAACCCGAAACCGCTGGGTGTTACAGGTACGGCTTCTCTAACACTTCTTCGAAGGGTTGGAGCCCGCGCAGTGATGGATTCTACGGGCGTTGCAAGGACTTGCGCGGTTTAGGGTTTAGGGCTTAGGGCTTAGGGTTTAGGGTTTAGGGTTTCGGGCGTGAGCCAACCGACGGCCCCTCGACCCTGCAACCCCGGAAAAGCCAAAAAACCCTTTTCAACCGCGAACAAAGACCCCAACCCTACACCCTAAGACCCGCTGAACCTGAGAAAGCCCAAGCTCACAACGCTTCAGAAGTCTACCCGGATGGCTCCTCTGTAGCACCTTGTCTAGACTCACGTATAACTACCCTAAACCCTATATCCTAAACCCTAAACCCTAAACTCTAAACTCTAAACCCAAAGCCTTCAGGTAGGATCTCGCCAAGCGGCTGAACGCGCCGGCAGATGGGCCCAGCGGTGGGAGTGGGTTTGCTGGGCTTCTGCCTGGCTTCGTAGAAGGCCCCTGGGATTTAGGGTTGAGGGTTTAGAGTTTGGGGTTTCGGGCTGAGGGTAGTTCTCGCTGAATGTTCGTAGACTGCCCGAACCTGCCCTAAACTTTTGTCAAAGATTGATCGATCACATCGATCTATCTTTTCTGATTTAGAACTTACAGTGGTTTCTCTGTATATCATAATGTAATGTATGTATGTATGCATGCATGCATGTATGTATGGCATGCCTAGCAACGGATTAGCCCCCTGAAGTCTTTCAACTTTGTCTCCATCACCCTAAAACCCTAAGACCCGGAGATCCTAAACCCCTACCCTGAAACCCTATCAGCCCTCGAATCGCTCCTCAGCCATCGGCTCACAGCCCTAAACCCGAAACCCTAAACCCGAAACCCTACACCCTAAACCCTAAACCCCAAGCCCTAAGCCCTAAACCCCAAGCCCTAAGCCCTAAACCCTGAGCCCTACAGGAACATGTTTCGGGCTCTTCTGCGGAACGCCAAAACTCTAAACCCTAAACCCTCACCCCAAATTCAACATGATTATTGAAGACAAAACAAAAAGAATAAATAACTTGTGCTGAACTCCGAGTACCTTCCTGGGCTTCGGCCTAAGGCTTTGAGGCAAACCCAAGAACCCAACAGCAAAACACATAAACCCCCCTAGTTGCAAGTTCAATGACTTCAAGATCCCAGGTCGCCGCTGCAAGGTAGATGATCTGGGCCAGGGTGTCTTAACCCACCTCGGGGGCCGACTCCTCGAGGATAAGAGCAGGAAACCTGCGGCCTGGAGCCAAGATCTGCTTGCAGATCAACTCAGCCACAGGGAATTTCTCCGGGGCTTTCGCGATGAGGTGTGTGACTTGAAGATAAGTCAGCATGCGGCCCAAGGCCTGCTCGGCCACCGAAACAATGGCCCGAATCACATCTTTATCCGAGAAACCGAAAAGGTTCTTGCTTGATCTGGTTCTCCAATTTCGCCTCAATCTGGAACACGGAAGACCATCGCCCGCTCCCCGGGCATTTTGACAAAGAGGTACCTCGGCGAGGTCCCTCCGTTGTAGCGGTCACTGCAGCGAGCACAACACCAAAACTGGCGGCCTCCCGGATTCTTGAGTAAAAACCAGCAGCTTGCCTCGAGGGGAATGCAAGCACAAGTGCAGTCGTAGTAGGGTTTAGGGTCTAGGGTCTAGGGTTTAGGGCTTAGGGTCTAGGGTTCAGGGTTTAGGGTTTAAGGTTTAGGGTTTAGGGTAACTCCAACAACCCAACCGCATACCGCTAACCCGTAAACCCGAAACCCTAATCCCTAAACCCTATAAGAGAGCCCCGGCCGCGAAGTCGGTACATCATTGCGGTCCACGACGACTTCCATGGCATCTGCCTCGGTGGGAGGAGGGAGGTTTAGGGTGTAGCGTGAAGGGTGTAGGGTGTGGGGTGTAGGGTTTAGGGTTTAGGGGATTAGGGGTTTAGGGGTTTAGGGTTCTGGGTTTTGGGTTTAGGGGCCAAGGAGACATTCGAGGTGAGAGTGCAAGGTTTAGGGGCCAACTTCGGGTAGGAGGCCCAACCAAGGGAGTTCAGGGGTTTAAGGGACGGAATTGAGGATGAGGGTTTAGGGGTCAAAGGTTCAGGGATTACAATGGTTCAGGGCTTCGGGCTGTAGGCTTGGGGTCAAAAGGTTTGAGAGTCTTTTTGAGAATGCAGCCAAGGTCTAATTTAAGCCACTACCTTGGCTCCTGGAACTCCTTTCTGCCATATGAAGTAGGGTTTATATTTCTTGTACCCCCAAAAGGACACCCAAGGTATACACTCACTAATGTTAAAAAAGGAACCTAATATACACCCACCAAAAAACAATGATATATACCCTGGCTCATATAGGTACATGGACCCTTTGGGAGGGTTGCTCTGAGCACGCAGCTAGCTCATCCATGCGCTCCAGAAGCAGCACGCCCTCTCCGGCGTGCACTTTGAGTCGTGGGCGGGGGGTGCTTACCAAACCCTAAACCCCCTAAACCCGAAACCCGAAACCCCAAACGCGACACCCCAAGCCCTAAGCCCTAGACTCTAGGCCCAATGCTAGAGGTTTAGGTTTAGGGATTAGGGAGTTAGGGCTTAGGATGGGATTTAGGGACTTGGGTTAAGCGCTTAAAGTTGGAGGGTTCAGGGCTTAGGATAGCGCAACATTTACGGTCTTACCCAGCCCCGCCATCCCTTAACGAGCCCTTTCATTGAATCCTCCATCCCAAGCCCAAGAAGCGCAGAACCACCGCCTAAAACGCGAAGCGTGAGACCCTCCGACATTCACATCCCAACATCCTGTCTAGGGGATAGGATCAGGGGGGGCCCTCGGGGTTATAGACCCTCTGAATAAGGTCCCTGTTTAAGAGAGCCAGAGGAGGGTTCAGAAGGGTTCCCTTTTCAGGGTCCCCCTTATCCTACCTAGGACTATCTCCTGAGGGAAGACTCTGCATGCCAAATCCTTCGATCCCACTAAACCCCAGACCCTCAGTCCCGAACATGACGCCCGAGCCCGCAAACGCAAAGCTGCAACCCCAGCTACCCCAGCTGAGCAGGGTTTGGGTTTAGGGTTTATTGAAACTATTCAGGGTTCAGGTTCGGGGAAGTTTCGAGGAAAGTTTCGAGGAGTTTCAAGGAGCTTAATTTCAAGCTACAGGGGGCTTGAGGGTTTAGGGTTTAGGGTGTATACGAGTTCAGGGTGTTTCAGATTTAGGGCTTAGGGTCTAGGGTTTCGGGCCCCAGCGCTCAACCCCTTGAACCCTGAGTTGTATACGAAGCCCTGAACCCAAAATGACCAAACCCCTGTCACACCCAAAAATGGAACTCTAAACCTGCAACTCTTCTCACCCCCCCCAACCCGTAAACCCTGAAGCCTAAACCCTCGACCCTAAACCCTAAACCCTAAACCCTTTGGACCCTAACAACCCCCCCCCCCCCAACCCGTAAACCCGAAAGCCTTGAGCCCGAAACCGAAGCTCCAGACCCCATTCCGCAAACCCTGAAACCCTCAACTCGCCAGGTTTAAGCCCGAAAGGAAGCCCTGAAATCCCAAAATGGGGTTTCGGGTTTAGACCCTAAACCTTAGACCCTAAACCCTAAACCTTTAGGGTTTAGGGTTTTGGGCTGGGGGTCTAGGGTCTAGGGTTTAGGATTTACGGTTGGCGCCCGGAAGGAAGTGTCCTCCTCCCGCGTCATTCCACGTGCAAGGGTCCCCTCACCAGTGGCCTCTACAGCAGGGCTGTCGGGCTTTGGTCTTTGTGATAATGGGGGGTACCTCATTGAGGTTCTTATTATACATGAATCCTACTATTTGGGGATCTATATTGGCGGTCCCCTATGTTCGTAAACCCCCATTTCTGGGGTGGGGATTGGGTCTTGCTTTAGGGGGCTTTCGGGCTTGGGGAGATGCTTTAGGTTTCTGTCCTAGCTTTAGGGCTATTCAGAGCTTCAGTCAGGGATGCAAGTGATGTAAGTGACGCAAGGCAGCAAGCCCCATAGCCATGCAAAATCGAAGCTGCCGGGTATGGAAGGTCTTACGGTTAGGGTTAGGCACTCTTGGTACCCTAAACCTACCGTAAACCAAGCCCCAGACCCACAAGCCCTCAAGCTAAGCTTGGGATGTTCCCCCTTCTACTAACAGCCCTTAATAGGGATGATGGTACCCCCTATTATAATCCCTATTAAGGACTGTTAGCTTTGGGGGGGAACATCCCAAGCTTAAACCTGAAAAATCCAGCCCGAAAATCAACATTCGAACCTTGCAAGGGCACCCCTCCACCTGCTCACAAAACTATACTCCCCTTAGAACCTTAATGAAAACACTATTTTTAATATCCTCTTGGGTTTTACATAAACACAAATATAACATAATTCCCAAGGGGGATATAGAACAACGGACCCCCCCCCCCCCCACCCCTCCTAACCTCTTCGGGATAGGCTTCGGGACTGCTATGGCGAACAACACGACACAAAGCTCCCAAATCTAGGGGGGCCCTGAACCCTAAACCCTAAACCCTAAACCCTAAACCCTAAACCCTAAACCCTATAAGCCTAAGCCCCCTCAACCGCAGCCACGGGCCTGCAATCCCTGGCTGAAAGCCTCTCTCATCTCTGCTCTATCCTGGTCCAAGGAGTCCAATCAGGTGCAGGGTTTAGGGTTTAGGGTTTAGGGTTTAGGGTTTAGGGTTTAGGGTTTAGGGTTTAGGGTTTAGGGTTTAGGGTTTAGGGTTTAGGGTTTAGGGTTTAGGGTTTAGGGTTTAGGGTGTGGGAGACCAGGGTTCATACTGGTTTGGGGGAATCGAGGTTTAAGGGAGTTTATGGTAGAGGTTTTCAGAGTTTTGTGTTTTGGACTTCTGGAGGTCTAGGGTTTTGGGGCTCAGGGTTTTTTGGGGTTTAGGGTATAGGGTTTCAGGGTTTCAGGGTTTCAGGGTTTCAGGGTTTCAGGGTGTCAGGGTTTCAGGGTTTCAGGGTTTCAGGGTTTCCGGGCTTTCATGCAAGTGGCCCTTGAGGCAGGTCTAGACGTCACGGATTTCCCACGCTGCTGCTGTCGTGGGGCTTTTTCTTTCTCATGGGGAAGGGGGGGGAGGGGGTAGCCTAAACCCTAAACCCTGAACCGCTGTCTACCTGACACAATAAACTGAAACCTGGGCACCACAAACACGGGCGCTGCCCCGTCGATTCTAGAACTTCTGGACCCAAGGGGAACCTAGGAATAGAAAGGGTTTTGAGTTTAGGGTGTAGGGTTTTGGCGACTATAACCTAGGAACGAAAAGGGTGACCTTGTTAGTTTCAAGGGGCTTACAAGGGAACCTAAACCCCCCCAAAACGGATATGCGTGCCGACTCTGGGTCGTAGTCAAAGCCCTAAACCCCAAAAAGCCCTAGGGTTCAGGGTTTAGGGTTTAGGTTTAGGGTTTAGGGTTTAGGGTTTAGGGTTTAGGGTTTAGGGTTTAGGGTTTAGGGTTTAGGGTTTAGGGTTTAGGGTTTAGGGTTTAGGGTTTAGGGTTTAGGGTTTAGGGAACCCCCTGAAACCCTCAACCCCAAAAAGTTCTAGGGTTCAGGGTTTCATGGTTGCCGTTCACCGAGGCATGCTACAAGAACACCATCTTCTGCCCTTGACCTGACTCCTGAGCCTTATAAGCCCTAGAACCTTCATCCGGAGGGAGCCCTATAAACCCTAAACCCGGAACCCTACAAACCCTAAACCCTAAACCCTAAACCCTAAACCCTAAACCCTAAACCCTAAACCCTAAACCCTAAACCCTGAACCCTACAAACCCTAAACCCTAAACTCGACAAACCCCTAAACCCGATAAACCCTAAAACAAGTTGAATTTTGAGAGACTGTGCCCGAAACAGAGGCACGGGGAAGACCCAGAATCTCGATGTCCCCGACACCTGAAGCTACAGCCCTGAATATGGAACCTTAAACCCTAAGATCCCCCTAAACCCTAAACCCTAAACCCTAAACCCTAAACCCTAAGATCCATTAGGGTTCAGGGTTTGGGGTTTGGAGTTTAGGTTAGGGGAAACCCCAAAGCCTGCAAACCCTAAACCAAAACCCGAGAATCCGATAAACCCTAAACCCTAAGCCCTATATGAGCCCGGTATGCACACTATTTAAACCCTATATAAACCATCTATAAACCCTATAAAACTTTATAGAAACCAAATAAACACCGATGTACAACCCCTAGATAAATCTGTAAACCCTGTAGCCCTGTAACAACCGATAACCAACCATATGGAAACCCTAAAATCAATACCTTAAACCCAAAAAGACGATAAAACCCTAAACCCTAAACCCTAAACCCTAAACCCTAAACCCTAAACCCTAAACCCTAAACCCTAGCCCATAAACCCTATGCGCACAGAGACGTGCAGGCCTTCCAGCCCAATGCCGTCCAGGTGCCATCTGGGCCTAAAGCTCTAAGGGAGAGGCGGGTTTAGGGTTTAGGGTTTAGGGTTTAGGGTTTAGGGTTTAGGGTTTAGGGTTTAGGGTAGGGTTGAGGGCTAAGGGTTTAGGGCTTAGACGAGCAGATGCGGAAATCAACGAAGGATGTGAAGCTGTGCACTTAGATCCTTGAGGCGCGCATTCAACCCCAAACTCCAGAAAGCCCTATCCTATATATATATATATATATACACACCTCAAGAACCGCGAACCTAAGCAAATCTTGAAGGGTGGAGTCACGCATGCGCAGCATCTGTACAGAGCTACATAAGAGGTAGGGTTCACGATGTGGGGTCGAGGGTTTGGGGTTTAGGTGTTAACTGTTGCAGGGTTTCATCCATGAAGCCTCCCAAAAAGTGAAGCCTCCGGTGAGGCTTTGGTTTTGATTTCAGAGCTTATGGGCCGCAGTGGCTAGGACTTGGGCAGAATACCCCAAAGAGGCTTCCTTTTTCCGGGAATCTTGACGCCACACGCTCTGCCAAAGATACCCATGATGAAGGCTTGGGACGTTCCCCCTGAAACTAGCAATCCATCGTATAGACTATGACAGCAGTATTGTAATCCCGATCAAGGACTGTTAGTATACGGGGGAACATCGCACACATGAATACTTAACCTGGGCCCCGCTCCCCGAGGAACAAAAAAAAAACGCGCAGCTAGCAACCATTTTTTAGCAAGCTACCTGCTGCCACCACACATCCCAAACCGCAATAAGCTCTCCTGAACCCGAAATCCACAATTCCCCAAACCCTAACCCTAAACCGTAACCCCTAAACCCGAAACCTTATTCATCCTGAACCTTAAACCCTGCGCCCCACATGCGAAAAAATGTCGGGGCAGGCTTGTGTAGGGTTTCCATAGGTTCCCCAACTACAGCCCCTCTATACTACAAATAGCCTTAAGTAGGCTGGATTAAGCTTAAATACGCATAGTTATGGGGGGGGGGGGGGGGGGGGGGGGACTAAGGGGGGTGGGGTACTATAGAGGGGAATAACCTCAACCCTAAACCCTAAACCCTAAACCCTACACCCTAAACCCTAAACCCTAAACCCTAAACCCTGAACCACAGTATAAAGGGTAGTAGTAGGGAACCCATGAGGTTTAGGGCTTGGGACTGGTGGTTGGCCCTGACGCTCCCAAAGTCATTCCACCCGTCCCCAGCATCCCAAGCCTGCCACAAGGTAGTTTAGGGTTAGGGTTTAGGGTTTAGGGTTTAGGGTTTAGGGTTTAGGGTTTAGGGTTCAGCATCTCAAGTTCGAGCATTTACTAGGCCAGCAGTGTGTGTAGGCAACGGAAAAAAACCCACCCGCCCAAAGAATCCCATAACATTAAGAAAATAAAAGTTTTTCTTAATTTCTAGTCCGACGCACCCATGCCGTAACGTCTCACCCCTTCCAAGCACATCGACCCCCGATAACCAAGACCTGGAATCATGCATTTTCACTGTCACTCGTAACGTCTCACCCCTTCCAAGCACATCACCCCCCGATAAGCAAGACCTGGAATCATGCATTTTCACTCGTAACGCCTCACCCCTTCCAAGCACATCACCCCCCGATAAGCAAGACCTGGAATCATGCTTGGAAGGGGTGAGATGTTACGAGTGAAAGTGCATGATTCCAGGTCTTGCTTATCGGGGGGTGATGTGCTTGGATGATGTGCTTGGAAGGGATGAGACGTTACGAGTGAAAATACATGATTCCAGGTCTTGCTTATCGGGGGGTGATGTGCTTGGAAGGGGTGAGGCGTTACGACGGGCCGATCCTGGGGTCACCCAGGGGGGGGGGGTGGCGGGGGCCCTAAACCCTACGGTTTAAAAGCCCCTGTCGGTGAAGGCTCGGTTTTCGTCGAAAATCCGGAAAACGAGAGGCCACCCAGAACCGTCGATTTCAGTACTAAAAAATCGCATTTTTAATAGGGACCCTGGCCGATCTGGGGTCACCCCTTCATTTTGGGGGGGGGGGGGGTTGGGGGGGGGGGGGGGTGGGGGGGGTGGGGGGGCTGGGGTGGGTGGGGGGGGTGGGGGGGGAGGGGGGGTGGGGGGGGAGGGGGGGTGGTGGGGGGGGTTGGCGACCTTGCCCAGTAAAACGGCTTGCCCAGTAAAACGGCCGTTTTACTGGGCAAGGTCTCCGTTTTACTGCCGTTTTACTGGGCAAGGTCGATTTTGGTCAAAAAATCGACCTTGCCCAGTAAAACGGCGACCTTGCCCAGTAAAACGGCGACCTTCGGTCACAAAATCGACCTTGCCCAGTAAAACGGCGACCTTGCCCAGTAAAACGGCGACCTTGCCCAGTAACTCCTTAACATTTGAATTATATATGAAAGAGAGGTTTAGGGTTTGGGGCTCTTACAGCCGGAGCAATGTGGACATGATCCCGGCATGGAGGCCCGGGCGCGCATTCAAGCAGACAGGGTTTAGGGTTTCGGGTTTAGGGTTTCGGGTAATATCTCCCCGAGTGTATACACGTGAAGGGACTCTGTAAGGATAAGGTATTTCGGGCTATAGTTCTCAGCTCATTGAGTACAAACAGTTCAGCAACACCCACGCGATCAAAGAAGCACGCGGCAAGTAAGACATTGTCGTGCTCGGTGCTACCGTCTCATCAAATGCTGAGATTCAATGATCGACCTTCCTGGCCTCAGGCTTACCGCTTCTTCGTCGGGAATGAGTGATCTCGGTAAACCCTCACCACAGGGGCGGGGGGGCGGGGACTGAAATCTAACCAAAAACATGGTCTGAAAAGAAACAACATGGGGCGGGATAGGTAGGAGGGGGAGGGGGGGAGGAGGGGAAGGAGGGGAGAAGGAGGGGTGTATTCCCGAAAAGGAGGTAAATCTATAGAAGGATACAAGGATACCGGGTCGCCACTTCCCTATAGGAAGAGACTCGCACCTTTCTGGGTCCCTTCCTGTGGGCCTTTACCCCCTTTATTGCCTTCTACAGAACCCTCAGCCCTAAACCCTAAACCCTAAACCCCAAACCCTAAACCCTAAACCCTAAACCCTTTAAAGGAGGTAGGGGACGACATCAAGGGCCCTTAGAAGCTTCGCACCTGCCTTATACTATCATCTACTTCGACCCAAGCCGACGCTGGAGGTGCAAGGATGTTTAGGGTTTAGGGTTTAGGGTTTAGGGTTTAGGGTTTAGGGTTTAGGGTTTAGGGTTTAGGGCTTAGCGTTTAGCGTTTAGGGTTTAGGGTTTAGGGCTTTGGGTTCCTAAACTTTACGCCCTGAACCCTGAAGGTGAGCCTTGTTTACAAGGGCCACAACATCTAGGAGATCGACGTCTGATACTGAAGGACTTGGGTTTAGGGTTGAGCGTTGAAGGTTTAGGGGGGCTAGAAACCCGAATGAAACCCCAAACCCTAAACCCTAGACCCTAGACCCTGGACCCTAGACCCTAAACCCTAAGCCGCAAAAAGAAGGCCCGACATTCACCCAGCGCTTAGCCATGAAACCCTAGCCCGCCCCCACCCGACCTCTGACCCCGTGAAGCCCCCCCCCCCCCCCCCTGCCCCACACAACACCACAAAGAGGAGTCCTCGAAGACACCACCCTAAACCACAAACCCTAAACCCTAAGATCTGAACCCTGAACCCTAAACCCTAAACCCCAAACCCTAAACCCTAAACCCTGAACCCTAAACCCGAAACCCTAAACCCTACACCCAACACCACACGCTGGCACTCCGCACAGCCACCAGGGACCAGGCTGGCTTGAAGCAGAGCTTCGCCATTCTGCGCAGAAAGAGAAGGAGTAGCGGGTATAGGGTTTAGGGTTTAGGGCTTAGGGTTTAGGGTTTAGGGGGTTGAGGTCAGCGCACCCCCCAGCCAAAGGGTCATACAAAGCGGAACTGAGAGCAGTTTGGTCCTAATTTCGGGGGTAGGATGTAGCTGACGAAGGATGATGATGAGTCGACAACCCACAAAATTGTGGGTTCTTGGGTCGAGCTTCAAATTTAGTGCTGATCCATGTTTCCCTCCTCCGCCTCATCCCCCACCCAACCCTAAACACTAAACCCAAAAAGACCATTTGCCAAGACGTTCCAAATGACAGTTCAGAAGCAATACCTAGTTGCGGAGTACCCTAGCCCAAAACAAGTTCACCTTTCAAGTATGGTAGGACTTAAACCCTAAACCCTAAACCCCAAACCCTGAACCCTGACGGCCCTCTACCCCAAAGAGCCAAACGCGCTATCAACTCAGCTACCAAGATAAGGGTAAACACAAGACTCGTTCCCATGGCCTCCTGAAACTTTACCCTGGGTTTAGGGTTTAGGGTTTAGGGTTTAGGGTTTAGGGTTTAGGGTTTAGGGTAAACCCTAAACCCTAAGCCCTGCTTTAGGGTTTAGGGTTTAGGGTTTACGGTTTGGGGGGGTGCCTCCAGCATATCAGCCCACACCATGTCGAATGGGATGTCGCCGGCCTGCAGAGTGAGGGCTGCGCTTTCGGACTTCGGGCCTTGTCAGGGTTTAGGGCTTAGGGTCTAGGGTTTAGGGCTAGGGAGGCTTTGGGTTTAGGGTTTAGGGTTTAGGGTTTAGGGTTTAGGGTTTAGGGTTTAGGGTTTAGGGTTTAGGGTTTAGGGTTTAGGGTCCAGGGTTTAGGGCTAGGGAGGCTTTTGCAAGGCCCTGCGACATGGTGAAGATATATCTGCTCACCACATGCCCGCTTCTCTGGTTGCCCACGACTGCCCACGAAGACTCACGCTTACCCACATATCGACCTAGGCAGGACTGTGTTTCGGGATTATGCAGTTGAGGGATCGCCACCCTCAGCGACACAAGTTCCGAGAAGAGCGTAGGGCTTTCTGCAACTTTCTAGTGGCACATCCCAGATGATAAGTATCTAACATGCTCTCGAAGCTTGTTCGATGAGGTTCGCGAAATAACTTTTCGAACGAACATCCTCATCCGGGAGATAGAAACGCGGTTTTGGCAAGACATGTGCGAAAGCCAAGACAGCGCGCTCAGGCACCTCTTAGAAACCTGCACGTCCAGTAGGGAACCAATGAAGGGCTGACCTTTGACGCCCTAAACCCTAAACCCTAAACCCCAAACCCCTAAACCCCTAAACCCTAATTAAACCCCTAAACCCTGAACGAAGGACCGGCAAAGAGTGCCTCGCAGGCGACATCGTTCGGGTTTGACTATAGAACTTAAACCCAGACCCTGGGAGACCCATTAGGGTTTAGGGTTTAGGGTTTGGGGTTTAGGGTTTGGGGTTTGGGGTTTGGGGTTTAGGGCTTTAGGGTTTAGTGTGTTCCTGGGAGGATCCAAAAAGTAGATCTCTTCAAGGGTTCCGAAGAATGACCCAATGGTAGTAATGGGGTCCTATTTGGGGGTTCTACATGTTGGATCCCAGGGTTTAGGGTTTAGGGTTTAGGGTTTAGGGTTTAGGGTTTAGGGTTTGGGGGGGGGGGGGGGGGGGGGGGGGGGGGGGGGAGGTTTAAGACTTTCGCATTTAGTTCCCACTGGGTGAGGTCTCCACATCTGGCAAGCTCTTGGGAGTCCCAGGCTTTGGCCGGGCTGTTCAGACTTAGGGGATGTAGGGTTTCGGGTGTAGGGGTTTAGGGTTTGGGGTTAAGGGTCTGGATGTAAGGTTTCAAAAGAGATCATAAGCCCTATATCCCCCTTGCAAGGAAGAATGTTTTTCATGTTTTGCGAGCTCTTAAGCAAAAAATAGTAGTTTTTTGAAGATACCTAGAAACAGGCCCCTACTTGTGAAACATCCGAAACCCTATACCCCAAACCCTAAACTCTAAACACTGAACTGCCAGCATCCCAGGGAAGTGCCTGAACCATTGGCATCCTCACAATCCTCAGCAAATCTGGGAATTTGGGGTCCCCCCCCCCCCCCCCCGATCTCGTTTAGGGCTTAGGGTTCAGGGTTTAGGGTTTGGGTTTTAGGGTATATAAAGGTATCGAGTTTCCATTTTCAAGACGCATCAAGCCTGAGACTGGTTTATGGGGTTGGTACCCTCCGCACCCTTTTGAACCCCGAAAACCGAAAACCCTAATTAAACTACCAGAAAATTATTCCTGAATATGACCCTCTTAAACCCAATAAGGAAGATATAAAATTTGTCCCACGGGCCTACCTAGAAAAACCCTACAGGGGTTTAGGGGAGTAGGGTGTTGAGGGTGCAGGGTCTGGGGAGCTTTCGGTCTTGTCGGGGCTTAGGGCAAGTTACAGCTCATAGAGGTTCAGGGCTTCGGGTTTCAAAGGACTCGGGGTTTAGGGTTTAGACTTAAGGGTTTAGGGCTTTAGGCCCTCACCACGAAATAGATAACTCAGAGTAGTCCAACCCTAGAGAGGGGGAATAAGGAAGGATCCACTCTGAAGTCCTGTAGTCCAGGGTTTGAGGCTAGGGCTGTGAGCCTGAACCCTATCTCCAGAAGCGACCCCAAAGCTGTATGCCTTGTAAAGCCCTCAGCCTACAGTAAGGTTCACATGCAACCAGTCGACCCAGCAAAGTATCTGGGTGTCCCCTTGATAGCCCCCCCCCCCCCCCCAGATTACAGTATTTATCAGTGCTCAGGCTGCTGCTAGTAGGGTGCATTGCACTTTCGCACACAGCTCGAAAATCTAGACTGCACAGATCCGGGCACTGGCTGTGCTTGCGTTCTTGGTGTGGTGGCACCAGCTCGGAGCGCACTAGCGGGTCCAGCGCGCCACCAACCTAAACCCTAAACCCTAAACCCTAAATCCTGAACCCTAACCCTAAACCCTAAACCCTAAGTCCAGCTGCGCTCTGGTTAGCGCTTCTCCTGTAGCGTGTCCAGCGACTCCCAGGCGACGAGGTTCAGCGCTTCTTGGTTGGCGCGAGGGGCGCGCTTTTGATTGTTATTCTTATGGACTAATTTGTAATTTGTTTTTGTTGGGGGGGGGCCTTTAGGTTGTTTTTCATGTTTGTTAGGGCTCAGGGCTTTACAGGGTAGGGTTTTCAGTGCCGTATCTATACATACCCTAAACTCCAAACCCTAAGCCCTAAGCCCTGAACCCTAAACCCTAGACCCTAAAATTCTATGCCCTACTTCATGTGGGGCTTACAATCCCTAACCTCCCACCCCTAAACCCGAAACAAATGCTTTCAAGGATTTAGGGCGTTCGAGCACGTAGCGCTTAGGGGCCGACGGCAGATGCCTCAAGGGAGACTTCATGTGTTTTTCAGGGCTTCGGAGTCTTAAAGGGTGTAGGGTTTTAGGGTTTTTTGGGTTTTAGGGTCCAGGGCCTGTGTTAACCTTCTAAGGTTCTAGGTCATAGAAGCGGGCAGGGGCTGATGGGGTTAGGGGGGGTTAAGGCTTCCTGCCTTTGGGGTTGTGGATTTGGAGTTTAGGGTTTAGGGTTAGGGTTTAGGGTTTAGGGTTTAGGGCTACTTCGAGTCTGGGATTTCGGAGTCTTCTTTCAGTCTCATTACCGAGGCAATGGCAGCTTGTGAACCTTCTCAGACGGATCTGCCTGTCGGATCTAGGGCTGAGGTTTAAGGTTTAGGGCTTAGGGTTTCGGGTTTAGGGTTTAGGGCTTAGGATTTAGGGTTTAGGGTGTAGGGTTTAGGGCTTACGGTTTAGGGTTGGGGGGGGGGGGTGGAAGTAGAGCAGGGGTGGCGTGTGCTGGAAAGCTCGTCTGGCCATGACTCCATGGCACCTTGACATCTATCAAGGGTTTAGGGTTTAGGGTTTAGGGTTTAGGGTTTAGCCTGTAGCCTGTAGAACTCGAGGGAAAGAGACCTCGCGTAAAACAAGCTGTATGCGAATCGCCGTCACTGACTGTGAGCCCTGAACCCCAACCAAAGCCCAACAACTCTTAAGCCCACAAGCCACAAGCAAAACCTCAAGCACCAACAAGCCGTGAACCCTAAACCCCAAACCCCGAACCCTAATCCCTGAACCCTAAACCCTAAACCTAAACCCTAAACCCTAAACCCACCCGACGTCCCCACCACCGGGCCTCTGGGGCTGCTGCTTCTGCCGCCTCACCTGCTTCGGACTTGAGCCCTCCCCGCAGGCTTCGGGGGTTTAGGGTTTAGGGTTCAGGGTATAGGGTTTGGGGTTTAGGGTTTAGTGTTTGGGTTTTAGGGATTAGTGTTTAACGTTTAGGGTTCAGGGATGAGGGCTTTAGGGTTTGGGGTCTGGGGTTTAGGGTTTAGGGCTTCGGGTTTAAGGAAGTACGACACTAGAAGAAGGGTCTAGGGTCTAGGGTCTAGGGTCTAGGGTCTAGGGCTTAGGGTTTAGGGTTTAGGGTTTAGGGTTTAGGGTTTAGTTGAAAGGGCAGATGGTTTAGGGCTTTTGGTGTGGAGGAGGCCTTCGGGCTTGGCCTTCCATCAGGGAAGCCCTAAACCCTAGCCCTAAACCCTAAACCCTAAACCCTAAACCCTAAACCCCAAACCCTACACCCTCAGCCCCTGAAAGGCCTCTCGAGACTACTGTAGGGATTGGGGTTTAGGGTTGAGGGTTGAGAGTTTAGGGTTGAGGGGTTTTGGGCACCAAATCGTCAGCATGAAAAAACAGCCCAAAGCACCGCAGAGCACTTGCACGCAGCCTAAACCCTAAACCCTAAACCCTAAACCCTAAACCCTAAGATCTGCAGGATTCAAGATTTAAGAGGCAGGCATTCTGGGCTTCACGATGGCAGGGGTGGAGTGTTCAGTCTATAAGGGTATACATGTCGCAGGACGCACAAACATCCTCGTGCTGTCCGAGCCTTCAGCCGTCTTCGCCTGTTTGGGAAAGCACAGCGGAACTTTTGGAAAATTTGTGGCAAAACTTCGCAGAACTGCTGCCGGGCGAAGCCGGACGACGTCAAGATAGGTCCGATAGCTTCGCAAGGTCAGGGTTTAGGGTGTAGGGTTTGGGTTTAGGGTTTAGGGTTTAGGGTTAAGGGTTTAGGGTT